GTTTGTGGAGATAAAGTTGGCGTTTTACCAAAAAATTCCATATTTTATTACGCAATTAGAAAACAGCTTTCTTATAAACATGAAAGTTACCGAAAAGTTATGGAAAAATCCTGAACAACTGAGGAAATTTTATTTAGCAAAATGAGCAGAAATCCTCCATAAGAATCAGTTAAAATGTAACTTCAATTTCGTTAAATAAATTTACAAAAGAGGATGATGAAGGCATAAGAAGCCCCAATAATTTCAAATACTATTGGTTGATAAACAACAGAGATACATCGTTAACTGACAGAACGCCATGGGTTCAGTTAATAATGACGGCAAGATTTGAGATGGTTCCATCTAATCTAATCTAATACAATCGCAGCCAGTACGAGAAAGCATCCTGGAAAATCATTAGGTTAGATAAGACCTAATCATTTTTCTTGTCAGCATTGATGTTTGCAGCATATCTGAGATTTGACACAAACATCAAAACGGCCAGGTCTAGGAGGCCTGGCCTACTGCGTTGCATTTACCGCAAATTTTATTCTGTGAAAGGATTCGAGTACAAATAAATCGTGGACGCACCATATTCGAAGCAGTTCCTAAATCGAAGCACTCCATAATGTTCGACTATTTTAAATAATTATTTTTGAAATGTTACTTCTGCAAATATTAGTTTCAGTGCTCTAAGGGGATGATGGTGTTACAAGGTTTTAAAAAATATCTTGTCAAAATAGACGAGTGCGTCATCATTAGAAACGCGTCAAATAAGGATGCGTGGACATACCGTACCAAACGCTCCGAGCTAGGTTATGAGTGAATGTAACAGTAATATGCAAGGTAATGAATGGTATATAAAATACAGTGTAATGGAAGGATCTCACCAAAGGCCTCCAATGTTAACCAAATTCCCGATTTCCATTCGACGTTTGTCAGCTGTAAGCTTCTCTCTTGCACTTGAAAGTCCTACCTCGGCAACATGATCGCACTTAACGATGGGACGTTGGGGGCTTGGTGCCTTGACAGTGGCCCCAGGAACAAGCTGGGGGATATTGTAGGTCCTGCAGACCGTCGATGTACGTGCACTAGCGGAGATCTTCCGTTGCTGATGATTGGCCATTTGTGCCAGAAATCTTGAATCTCGGCTTTGGTGGCGACCCAGAACCGGGCAACCGAATCCAGGTCCATCTATGGCAATTGTTGACCGGATCAGCATCCAAGTATAAATATAACACAGGTCATCATTTAAATTTCGAATCGCGGAAAACGTGCTCCAATTACGAGGCAAGCTATCACACATAATTTATTAATTTTTTCCAAGATTTGAGATGGTTCCATTGATCTTTAACTTACTGATTTGTTCCAAGTTCTCAATGTCAGTTAGGTTAACTTTGTCATAAAGTTATGTTAACTGTCATAATACCAAAACCTGCAAAATGCTTGTCGATGCTGTGACACAGCACGCCTGTCCCATTGTCGTGAAGCGAGCTTGATCTGATCATCGCCACGCATTTTGCAGGTTTCAGTTCCGATATAAAAGTTTAAAGTGTAAGCATCTTGGTGGTGCTCTATCCCGAATCACTAAAAATACTGATATTTATAACTCATTAACAGGAACCACGCTATTAATACTTACTCAATTATTTGAGATAGAGACACCGACAAACCGACATGAATGATCATACAAATTACAAAGAAATTTATGATCAAAACACAAAACCAGTGGCGTCGCGTCTACATGTGCAACCTGTGCACGACACAGGTGTAAATAATTTAAAAAATGCGTTCAGATTTTTATAGATTTGATGGTCACATTATAGCTGTATGTACTTCTTTACTCCAGACCACATGTCACCATGAATACACTATTATATATTGGGGTTCAATTACATTTTCGACCATGGATTGCTTCAAAAATGATTAAATTCAGTTCGTATGGTCTGCCTAATCCCTAATGCATTGATTTCTAAGCATGTCAATATTACTACCATGACAAAACTCGTCAAATAGTGCACCTAAATGCGATCTTTTTTGGGTGGCGGGTGGCAAGTTTGTGAATGGTCTGATGTAAGCCAAGCAGACCTTCTATCACCTCTTGAAACATAACACAAATTTTCCACGATACATGGCGGTTTGCACCACTAGTTGTAATTGAAATTTTCTGCAGTCACGCGTCAAACGGGAGCAACACAGAAACAGTAGTCTGGGTGAGTTTAAATTAGAAGAACATTTGTGATGTATGGGTGCCTAAAGTGTGCATTTCTCGCAGTGCACTTGGATATCTGATTGCAGGCAAAGAGAATAATGGAGAAAGAGATCGCAAAAGCTCGCTTTCACTCTATTTACAGTTGTAAATCTCTCAATTACCGATGGTTGCGCCGGTGCGCCTGTCAAACTTATGAGCTTCCCCTGGCTCATTCTGATAGTGTTGTTTTGATGACTAAAGAGTTGATTAATTCAAGTTTGCTACCCAGGGGACTACATCAATTTTCTCTAGATGTTGACACTGTTTTGTATCAAACAATGTTTTCGGAAGTGTTCGACGGATATTCTTCATTACACTTCAGTCGAAAGAGTTAGTCTTGTGATAAAAACGAGAATTAGCTAGGTTTTGCAATTCCTCCTGCTTCGGTTAGCGCGAAAAGGGCCATACAAGTTTTGTTTACACAAGATGATAGGCCCTTTAAATGTTACGTTAGGTAATGATTAATATTTTAATTGAGAATATGTCCCTCGAATTCATGGTGGCGGTAAACTATAGCGAACAAAGTTAGGTGCACAGGTAAACAAATGAGGCACGCGACGCCTCTGCACAAAACTGACATCTACCGCCGTGTTCGCGGAAAATATTTATCCTAGCCACGAAAACGCGTGCAAAATTTATGAGTTGGTTCGTGTCTTATCTATTTCGGACAGATTTTTTTTATCTAGATAAAACATTTCTATGTTTTTGACCGATGGAATCGCTCCACATTTGAATCGGCCGTTATGGATTCTCGATCAAGATTTAAGTTTAAGTTTCATGTCGGTTTGTCGGTGATAGAGATCCGCATTCCGATTCTATCTATAATGGCTCACTATTTATACATGTTTCAAATATGTTATGAAGGGTGACTCCTAAAAAATCGGTATTTAAAAAGTAATTTTTATCCATTGATTTCTCGTATACAACATGTTCTTGTCATTTTTTTCTCAATTGTGTAGCGCACATTTTTGCCGGAGCGACTTAAGGTTCTATCTCTTTCTTTTCCTTTATTTAACGTCGGTCTCTGTTCCGTAATCTAGTGCCAATCACCGACGGACATCGATTGCCATCCATTGACGGCAATCGAATGTGCAGAAAGGCAGCTTCCACACCTGCGTAGGATATCGCACCCATTCAACACACATGGACCGGGACCAACGGCTTTACTTCCCTTCCGAAGGAAGACGTGACCAGAGATTTTTATGCCTCAGAAAAATCCCACCGACCTCGGCTGGGATTGAACCCAGACCCATCGGGGTGTTAGAAAGCAGTCACGTTACCACTACACCACCGGCGCCGGCTGATTCTATCTCTGTTTGTTGGTAATTTATGAAGAATTTTCTGTAAAACATGTGCCCTACACACTAAGATTATTTCACCGAAATCTGTGCAATTTTACCGAAATCTCAACAGCTGAACGTTCGGTAAACAGTTCGGTGATTTTTCACAGATTTCCTGAAATTCTACACCGAATATCTGAATATCTGTAAACCTGTTCATTTTAACAGAAATGTTCGGGATGCACCGGGTCAACCATGATCACTGTTCGTCATGTTAATTTGAACTTCTGTGCAAATTTTCAACAAAATCGGTGATGATTTAGAGGTGCTTCAAGTTAATTTTATGTTTTTCAGGTAATTAACGGCTTATAATATTTGTATCTCGAGACTGAAACAACGAAAACAGCATAGCAAAGCAAAGCTTAAAGATTCCATAGATTGAGAGATAAAAATCAGAAAAGTGGCCGTTACAGCTAAAATTCACAAGACAACAGAGCCAATAAAAGTTTCAATTAGATTGACAGAACATAGTTGCATTGCTTTTGAATGACGACCGATGACTGTTTCATTGATAGATGATATTTTTAGAAATATGAATCCTCAGTAGCCGTGTTTTTTATCAAAGGCAAGTGTCACTCGAGTCATAACAGCAATTTATAATGTACCTCTAAATCATCACCGATTTTGCTGAAAATTTGCACAGAAGTTCAAATTAACACGACGAACAGTAATCACGGTTGACCCGGTGCATCCCATTTCTGTTAAAATGAACAGGTCTAATGTGCCCTTTTCACACCTTTTTTTCACCCTAGATAAATGGAATCATTGTCTTGCAAATGTAGCTATTGACATACAAATCCACTTATGCTATTTCTCGATATAAATATTTGAAAATAACGTACTTTTCATTCCATCGCCGATTTAGTTTGTAGCAAAAGATGCTCAACTTTGGTTTTCAAACTCAACGGAGATTTTAAAGCATCCTTCAAGCCCAAGCCCGAACGATCTGAATTATGTAGTGCTATTTTTTTGATAATTGAAAAAAAAACCGCTTGAATTGTGTGCGAATAAGCACCCAAGCATGTCAAATCTTTCCGAAACTTTTTTCCGCTGCCTTCATTTCATGTCTCGATTTACTCTGTTTAGCTGCTCCTTCTGACTGGGTTACTTCGCTCAACCCCGTCCCCTTCCCAGCCCGCAGCCCGACCCAAAGTTGATCTCTATTACACGATCTCTACACACTGACTGCTCTCGCGAAGTCAGCAAAGCCCCTCTTCCACAAGCTGTGTCTCTTTCATCGAGCGCTGGCCGTGTGCTCTTTGTGGGCAGATCGCTTTTCATATGATTTTTGTTCGTCAAATTTGCCTATCTGCCGGGGCGTTTCTGCCCAAACCGTACCCACGGTTCGACCCCGGAACGCTGAAATTACCATCCGGTCCAGTTTGTATCGCCATAGACCCCCAGGGGGTAAACCGGAAGCAGGAACTTACCGAAAAAATCCTCCCACCGTTCGGAGCCGTCCGATTCGTTGTCCATTGCGCCTCGTTGTATTTGATGCCCACTGCTTCGTTCCACTGATAACTTCTTTTTCCTTTTGGCGGGTTATTGTGCCCCCCTGAACTCGGTCGGACGATTAGGAGGCCCCCCGTTCCGAAAATGATAGTAATCGCTCCGCCGCAGCAACCAAAAAGAGATCAGCGGCGGAGATGCATATGCAGAAACACTTGTGCACACAGACACACTCACAACGATACACTTTAAATACTTAATTGCGGCGCGAAATCACTTTCATTTAATAAGGCTCACATCTAATCATAATAATTGCTACGCGCAGATCGACGGCTGAGCTTGTTCTTCTCTTTTTCGCTCGCTCGCTCGTTCAGTGTGATAGCCTAATCTGGCTCGACTCCGGCCCAGAGTGCGCGTGTTTCGTTTTGTGTTTTCTTCAACTTTCGGAAACTGGATGATTCAACCTGTGTTGTATTGTTGTGTGTCTGGCTACTGGCTCTTCCGATTCCTGCCGACCGACGGAGATGATGATGCTCAATCTATACTCTCTGACACATGTACAAAAGGGAGTGAGCGATCGATTTTTTCATCTTTTGTACACTTTCGTCGCTTACTGCGGTTGATCTTCACCTTTTGACTTTACACGGCTTTTATTACTTTTCTTTGATTGTTTTGCTCTTTCTCTCTTTTACTGTGAAGGTTCTGGTTGAATCTCGCGCTCCCAGAATTCCGGTAGCTTCTCATTCACTGAATCTTCACCGTTTGTCGTTGTCAATCACTGACTGGAACGATCATTGTACGCCCTCGTAAAAACAATAACACACACGTCACTCCTAACGAAATGTCATTCCACCACCCACACGGTGACGATCGCGGATTGTTCTAGCTAAAGGTCTAGAACGAACGCTCACACGCTGAGCTTGCAACAGACACCTAGGCAAAATGCATGTGTGTTGTGTACGCTGCATATAGCAATATGAGCGCAAGTATTTCACGCAATTAATAATAAAAACACCCAGCAATGATTGTTTTATTTTTACACCAGCCGAACGTGTAGTGCGTGTTCAACACAACTTTGCAAGCACAGAAATAAAAACAACAACAAAGAAAACTACAAAGCAGCGTTGCTTATCCACTTAGAACAAAAACACCGAAAACACATTAGAATTGCGCTGCCCACTATTGATTATCAAATGCAACACAACACACTGATCAAAAACTGCTGCAAACTTCCACCAGAGAACAACAATGTCACTGAAAACTCGCGTGTGAATGATAATCACAATAATCGATCGGTTACTTCTATCGTTCAACAGAGGGACGTCAAACGGAGCACGTCCATGCGACACGAAGCACTGAATGCAACTGAAGCCGACTAGTGGGACGGGACTGGACGAAACGAACGAGCGAATCCGAACATAACATAACGACAACATAAACCCGAAGGGCGGCAAAACCAGCTTGTTTTGTTGCTGCTCGCCTTGCTTTGCCTCTGGTCTATTATAGGCCATTAAAGTTTGGCCGCTCCAGAGCACAGAGAACAGACGTTGAAGCTCGGTCAGAAACTTGTGTAAAATAAGTGGGAACGTCACCGTTACGTGATGTTAGCATCTCCTGATTTTCTCTCTAAATTTTCCACTTTCGACCAATTTGGCGCTAGTATCGATAAATTTTCTGTTGAAAATTGCCACTTGGCGCTACTAGCACTTAGTGTCTAGTGTAATTTGTGCAACGCCAGCGCCATCATGTTGTCAAAGAGGGTTTTTAAGTGGGGAGGTCGCCGTTAGTGCTTAAGTCGAATAGGAATCTTTACACAAGTTTTCAGAGAAATTTTGTTCGAGCCTCCATGTCTGTTCTCTGTGCTAGTAGTATGGATTATTTTCAAAAAAAAAAATCGTCGATTTCTCTGCAAACCTTGCTTCTAACGATGAACAAATTGCTACATTAGGTTCTTTTTAGCAAAAGTGACATTATGTAGAATTAATATATCAGACAGATTGCACCATTCTTGATATTTTTATTTAAAAGTAATTTTCGCTATACATTCTCAAGTCGGTATTCCACCAGCCGATACAATTGAAGACTGATCGCCCTATGGTGGTTATTGCTGTCAGAAACAGCATGAAACACCTAATGTATGAGTATGTAAGTAGCCACCATCCTAGCTTGGGTCTTGCCATGCATGCGGCTCCACTCAACAGCAAGATCAAATTTCGTCATCATTTTGAATTCAACATACTGCTGTATGAAGGGCCAAAAGGGGTTGGACGGGCCCGTAAGCAGAGACACTTACGCGAAACCCGCGGGAATAAGAGAATCTCCTTGCAACAATATGATCCAACAAAACGAATAACGAAATACGCAATACATGTTAAGCTTTCCATGGGATGGTTTGTTTAAAAAGAGCGCGTCAAATTCATTGCAACTGTTGGAGTGAAATGTAACTATCTAAGTGACAGTACACATTCCCTCCTAAACTCCGGTTGGCACTCTACTCCATTGTCCAGTTACAACTTCAATGATGCCCTGATGCTCCCTGCCGTCCCAGTATTTATCGTAATTTACATTATGAATTTATATATAATCATGCAATATATATTGTATAGATAATATGTAGTAAAATGAAAAATATAATAAAAAATAAATATGTTTTACAAAATACAAATAACCTAGATTGTCCTATACACACACTTTTTGTTTTATGTGCCATGAAATGACATAATGCATCATTGTATATTTTGAAAATATAATACTAAAGTAGTGAATCAATAGACCGTCCGGGAGACAGAGTGCCAGCGCTAATCCGGCAAATGCAACCGAAAACTATGAATGCGAACGCACGCACAAAACAGAGAACAAACTTAAAACACAACCGTGTCCAAATAGGTTCCGTGTGCGACTGCATGAAACACCTAATTAACGTATAATATAAAATATTCCCTTTATTTAAAAAAATATATAAATTAAAAATAATAATTAATTAAGGTGGTTTAGATACGTAGGTTTCGATTTTTCATCCCCCACAGAAGCATTCAAGTTAAATTAAACTTCATTCGAAAAATATAAACGTTTTAAAATGTATCTCCCATAACGCGTAAAATTTTTAAATCTTCGTCATCACGCCGTTTTCCAGGATGACCGCGAGAGGGCAAGTTTTAATGACCTATACGATTTGATTGTTGGTTGCGTGCCTGGCGGAATGTTAGACTAAACGGTGGCGTGGGAGGGAGTGAGATGGAACGTTGTTAGCAAGCTTTTATAAACTTTGATCACCGGTTCAGGCGCATGGCAGGGTAATGAAATTACAAGAGGGAAGGCTGTTGCATGGTTGATATGTAGTACGACATGGGGAAATATTTCCATGTGACATCGCTTTTTCAGTTGGACTGTGACAGCCCATCATAGCACTAAAGCTTAACGGAAATTTATGCACGATTAGTTCAGTTCACCCAAATATTAGTAATGAATACCCATAGAGATTGCTAAAGTGTGATTGTGTCAGTGATTTGTTTTCATCAGGAAAATTTTCCGCTATGAAGTTTTTTTTTCCTGATGAAAATATTTTGCATATAGGGGAACTGACGGCTTCGGCATGACAGACTATTTTCGGCAACCCAAATTGAAACACTATTTTCACTGGATTTTCTTACGAAAACACTTCGCTGACTGCATGCAAACGATTCTTTATGCTTTCAGCTTCCATTTGACTATATTTTTACCACTGGGAAAAAGAAATCTAGCAGGGTTTTCTTGAAATGAAACACACGCACTACAAATTGTAGCTGATTTCGAGTTGCCGATAATAGAACAGCAGATTTGCATGCAGTTCAAATGGAACGGTTGCCGAAGAAAAACTGGTTGCCGACAATACTCGCTCTCACTAGAGAAGATTGGAGCTTTGTAAAAGCATTTCAAAACAGTTTTTGACAATTCTTTCGACTGAAATTGTTAGAGCAGCTGGCAGCAAAAGATTGTAAACAAACCAATACTGCATATGTGTGCGTTCCATATAGAAAAAAAGCTATAGAAAGAAGGTCTCTGCTTAGGTTGCCGAGAATACGTAAATTCCCCTACGTATACGTGACGTAGTGTGCGTACGATAAACGTAAGCAATCTATATAATCGCGAAAAAGTGCATGTATCCATTTTATGAGTAAAGTCGGTTTACCCATATTTGAGTACATGCAATATGCACCGACTTATGGGGAGGGGGGGGGAGTTGAAAATTATCCACGGTCCAATGTCACAAATTTTAATTTTTTTTTGTATGGACAATTGTCTACGCAGGGGTAGGGGGGGGGGGTCAAGAATCCAAAAAAAAAACTGTCTTCGTAGTTTATGAACAGACCATCTCCGGAGAAGCACGCAATAATCAATATCGATACCCAACAAACAATTGAGAGCTCTTATAAAACACCTGAGTTGATCAAACGTTGAATAATAGCTTCCAGAGTTGAACAAGAATGTAGTTGTATTGCCTTTTTGGTTAAACGCTTCAAAAGCTGCTTGGAGCACTCTTAAATGATTGTTTACGTTTGGTTTAACTATATGCTTTATAAGACCTACGATAACTTTTATAGCACCTTAGTTAAACCGATCGACAAGAGCTATATAGAACGTGGAATAAACGCATCAAAACAAACCATTGGGAGCTCTTATACAACACCTGAGTTGATCAAACGTTGAATAATAGCTTCCAGAGTTGAACAAGAATGTAGTTGTATTGCCTTTTTGGTTAGAAGCTTCAAAAGCTGCTTGGAGCACTCTTAAATGATTGTTTACGTTCGGTTAAACTGTTTGACAGGAGCCATATAGGATGTGGAATAAACGCATCAAAACAAACCATTGCGAGCTCTTATACAACACCTGAGTTGATCAAACGTTGAATAATAGCTTCCAGAGTTGAACAAGAATGTAGTTGTATTGTTATTTGGTTAAAAGCTTTAAAAACTGCATGGAACGCTCTTGTATGATTGTTTACGTTCGGTTTAACTGTACAACGCGAAGTGGATTGTGCATTTGTTATCGATATTTTAATTACCGAAAGTAGATTTGAGTGAATAGTATTAGTGAATAGAATTATGGATAAAATATTGAAAAAATACAAAAAAAGTGGAACATACCACAGAAAACTAAGGTCAACTAAGGAAAAATACTTGCTTATGTTTGGCAATTTAAAGTTGAACCCAATCGCAAACCAGCAATCGGAAAAAAATAATCAAGTGGAGTCAAATCAAACTGGTATGTCGAATTTAATATAATTGTCACAACAGCAAAAAAGTTCATAAACATTATACATTTAAGGAAATCCTGAGCTCCCCGCTAACGAATCTGCATCCTCAAACAATGTTGGAGAAAATAATTGCGATCCTTCAACTACTTCATCAGATAACTCTCGGACCGTCCAAATCAGTTCAGCTCTAAGGAATCCAATTGATATTAATTCAGTTCAGACTCATCATGCCCAAAACTATGCAGACAACCTTTCTGAAGGAGCTACGAACGAAGAAAACAGGGATTTACTTGATACCGGAACTGGCCCTAAAGATTATTTGGCTTGTGAGAGTTCCCGTGAAGCTCTAAGAAAGTGGTCTCTTCGTCACAATATCACTCAGCACGCATTGAAAGACCTGCTGGCGTTGATAAGAGATAATTATAACGATACCAGTTTGCCTATGGATCCAAGAACCCTTTTAGAGACGCCTCAGGGCATCGGAAAGTTTTGTACCGAGATAGCTGGTGGTAAATATTGGCACCACGGACTAACAGCCTGCCTAAACAAGTGGTTTGAGAACTTATCTTCTGATATCACTATCAGTATTAACATCAATATCGATGGTTTGCCAATACATAAGAGCTCGAAATTTCAACTATGGCCGATTTTATGTAAGATTCATGAAATACCTGAACTTCAACCGATGCCGATTGGAATCTATATTGGAAAAAGTAAACCTTCAAATATAAACACGTTCCTTACACCATTTGTTGATGAAATAGTGCCAATTATTAACGCCGGATTCGTTATAAATGGTCATACCATTCTTATAAAAATACGGTGCTTTATTTGTGACTCACCAGCACGCGCTTTCGTGAAAGGTAATTCAAAGTCCTAGTTGAGTTAAAATTGCTAAAAATTCCGTTAATTTGATTTATGCCAACATCTGTGCTGATACACATGGGACGTTTACGCGTCCACCGGTACTATACTGTCGGTAGAAGCATAATTGTCCTATGTGTATAATGCCGGTGGAAGCATATCTGGCCCATGTTACAAAACACATACACACATTCGACAAAAAATATGAAGTCGATTTGTCTCACTTCAATAATGGAAGAATATTTGTCCCACTGGAACAAATATGCTTCCATTTACAACCAGAAATTTAATTTAATAGTTAAAAAAGTATATATCTCATTATGGTTTAACGCCATTACAACCTCAAAATTGCCGAAAAGTCACATGGGACAGTTATGCTTCCACCGAGAGTAAATGGAAGCCCAAAGCAGATGGGACAATTATGCTTCCTTCGGCATTATACACATTACTAAAAACCCTTATTCTTGTTTTCGTTCGAACTATTTTAGTCTTACATTAAAAAAAATGTTTTGTTTGACTGGAACGGTTCAAACGAAATTAAGAAAAGGTGTGAAACCTTAGTCAAATTAAATCTTAAAGAGGTCACACTAATATTTCTGATTTACATAAATCGTATTTTCTAAGCAGTATTTTTTAAAAACAAATTCATATTTTGTCTAAATTGAATCTAATGCTGTAATGCACCATTTTAGGAGTTATAAATTTTAACGGCAAAGATGGATGTATCAAATGCACTGTTGATGGAGAGTATTCATACATATCACGCACGGTTGTGTTCCCAACTCTACACTGTCCTTTAAGAACAGATGAAAAATTCCGTCAAAAGCAGTATGGAAAGCATCATGCTGGAGAAGACTCGCCAATTTTAAGAATCCCAGGACTAGACATGATCCAAGATTTTATAGTTGCCGATTCATTGCACTTGTTGGAATTAGGTGTTATGAAGCGCCTTTTAACCGGATGGAGAGATGGATCATTGGGGTATACAGGAAAGTTAAGTGCTCTGCAATTTCAAAAATTGTCAGATTATGTTGTAAGTGTTAAGCTACCAAAAGAAATTCATCGAAAAATGAGGGGATTAGACTGTGTAGCCTTTTGGAAAGGTACAGAATGGCGTAGTTTTCTCAATTATGTGGGCGTAGTAGTTCTTAGAAACACGTTAGACGAAAAGTTGTATAATCATTTCCTGCTTCTGTTTACGGCTGTTACATTCTGTTCCTCTGATATTTACAAACAATGGTGGTCGCTTGCACGAGTATTATTTGAAAAATTCATTGAAGAATTTATTGTAATCTATGGTGAAGAATATGTGACGAGTAACATCCATAATCTTGAGCACATTGTTGACGATGTGGAACGATTTGGTCCTTTGAGTTCAATTTCATCGTATCCGTTTGAGAGCTATCTTTTTCAATTGAAAAAATACGTACGTCAAGGAAAAAACTGCCTAGAGCAAGTTGCAAATAGAATATTGGAGAAAAATCGATTCCCGCAAAGCAGCACTATAAAGAGTACCAGTATTCTTCCAATAATAATAAGACGAGGCAATCGGGTCGAGTGTGAAATACGACAAGGATTTTTAATCAGTAATGTTTTTCAAAATGCTTGGATCTTAACAAAAAACCGTGAAATTTTAAAAGTTGTTAATATTTCTCTTGGCCCTAACAAGAACATTTTAATTCATGGTAGATCAGTTATAAATCAAAACGATTTTTTCAAATTACCTATTCAATCATCATTTTTGTACATTTATGAAGCGCAGATATTAAACCTAAATGCTGAAAAAACATACGAAATCAATGAAATCTTCTGTAAGTATGTAGTTATTCCAGCTGCACTAAACGTTTATGTTTATATTCCACTTTTGCATACGATTAAGGGTTAGTTAATTTTGTTTTTAGAATAAAAATATTTGTTACACATAGAAGATTTACTTTTCAAAAATACTGAATCATTAGATTGTACTTCAAAAATACTAAATCATGTAGATTGTTTGTAACAATCACAAGAGCTAACACAAGAGTAATAAAATGTAGAATAAAAAAAAATAAAAAATAAATATACATGAAGAAAAAATAAACCGAAATAATCGTTATTCGCATCCGAATTTTTCTTCGACATCAGTTTCCTCATCATCATATTCTTCGTCATCAGCTTCTTCTTCATCTTCTCCTTCTTCATCAGCTTCTTCTTCATCGACTTCTTCGTCATCTGGTTTACCATCTTGGCCGTCATCTTGGTCATGTGCCGTGGTTGCTCCCAGCAGATGGTAGACCGGATTAACCGTTTGCTCATTATGAACATTGACATTGACAGGATTATGGGTAACAGCATCACCAGTTTCTACAAATATATAAAAGTTTGGTTTAAAACAATGTCTAAGTAGTATTGCGAATCTACAGGTTCCATGGTTCCATGTAGATATTGGGGATACCCCATTCGGCATAAAGTCGTTTGGCATAACGTCATTTTCCATAATGTTTTTTTTTTTCAGGAATGGTCCATTTGGCATAATGGTCGTTTAGCATAAAATGTGCAGAAAAATATAAAGGCCAAAAATCTGGATTAACACTGTTGTAACATTTCAAGTATACCATTTATCATTTTTTAGAAATATTTAAAAAACGCACAAGTATTTTCTTGTGACATATCTTGAAGATAAATGATGAAAATATACTCACCAGTATTACTGTTGACGGTTCTCCTTGATCTGCGATGTATAGATGATTGCCTCATGCCCTTTGATTCACAGCGTTTTTTTGAGTTTCTTGTGATTTTTTTGAAAAAATCTTCAAGCAACTTGTGCGAAAAAGATACGTTCACACTGTGAACTATTTTGAAAAATGTATTCAAAATGTTTTCGCATTCTTTCAATGACCATTTTGGCTTTTCTCCCTTGCTTGCACCACTCCAGGAACAAAGCACTAAAACTTTTCGATCGAAAAAATGATCAATGAGGTCATAACAAATGTTTTGACCATTGCAATTGTCGCCAGTGTGTCCGATGATTTTTTTCATGTGAATGATCTGGAAAAGAAAAGTTATTTTTCAGTAGGTTTACAATAATCTTTGTTCGCACTTATGAGTTGAAACTGTATTACAAAGAGTTTGAAATTGAAATATAACGCTACCAAGTTTAACAGCAACACAAAGCCACACGTGTCAACTAAAAAAATACAGTTTAGGGGGATTATTGGCATAATAATCAAACGGTGCCTCCATATGCTTAAAATATAACGTATCATATGTCGTTTTCGTTTTTGCGGTGTAGCTACACCGGTGCTACACTGCCGTACACCGAAATATTTTAGGGTGTAGATATAGGATGCACCTTTGTTTACAAACAAATGATGTTGAGCTGTCAAAGACTAGTGCTTATTCCTGCTTACACTACACCAGTGCTAAACCAATGAGGTACAGAGAGAGGTGGCGCAGATCGTGAAATAGGGTTGTATTAGTAAACCAAAAAATCAACGTAAACGCAAGTAGTGACGTCACTACTTGCGTGTACTTGCGTGTATCGTACAGTGGTTGTGTGAGTGATTGCTTCACCTCGGTAATCCAGCTCATTGGTGCTAAACCGCAAAAACGAAAACGACAATAGGAAAGTTGGTGCAGATTAAGTTGATATTACGTTACACAGCAAAAAAAGTTGTTGAATATTACATCGAAACTGCTGCAACCAGGTCAATCCATCGGTTGTGTAATATCACATTGTACGATGTACATCGATTTTGCGAACAAAATTACATCCATTGATGTAATATTGTATCTGCTTTTTGCTATTACATCATTATTTCATACGTCAGCTTGAATTACGTTGATCGATATTACATTTTTTTTTGCTGTGTACGTAAGCTAGTTTGTTATGACATTTCACTTATAATAGTAATTTAGTGTGATGATTGATATAGTTTAGAAATAAATTGTGGATCGAAACAAACATCGAATGGAAAGGATCGATCTAGTCGATTTTTGTCGATCTTTTGTGTTTCGATCCAAGATCGCCCATTGCTAGTATGATCACTAACCGTTCTTTACACTGTTACCGTTCACTAACAAAAACAGTTTGACGAATCCAACTTGTTTGAAAACGGGTTTCTGTACATAGTGGTCACGTAGGCAGTTTTGTAAACATTTCAAACCTCATCTCCTATGCAAACTTGATTGTGTAAGCATAAGTTTTCCTTCTAATTTATGGCACATAAGAAAAGATGAAACCACACTCAAAAAACTCCACACGTCTGATCGATGTGTTTGAACACTTGATATTTCATATGCACAATCACATTTATTTTAAGTGTATTTCACCATGGTTCAATGTGATCTACACGTTGATTTCTTGTGTTTCAAACTATGAAATGTTGATAATCTTTCTCTATCAATTCAAGTGTATTGCACATTGAATCGCACTACTGTTCAAAACAGATGGATTTGAAGTGTTTTGCATTTCAATGCGATGTGAAATGCTTGTTCTCCAAGGTAAACATTGAAAACATGAGTTGTGACTTCATACTTATCAACCAGCCTCATATATGAGAACAACCATGGGCCAGTGAGATCGAACGAAGGCAACTGCAGCAGCACACCCAACAGCCCAGGATCAATTCCCAAATCAGACCCATTAATTGAAAGACATGTGTATGTTCTGCCCACAGCTTTGTTTATATATTTTTCGATTTAATTTTTGAGTCGGTAAAGTAGAAGTCGATAAAGTAGAATATTGTAGAAAATTGAACTATGATGTGCAAAGCTATTGATATCAGCATGTGAGGGACATAGAATCCAAGTGCGTCACAATTCGAGCCAATAGTTTTGAGGCATGGTTCAAAGCATAAGATTCACACATGAAATGGATGTGTTTCACAATAAGCGCAAAATTAAGTGTGAGACACATGATGATGACGTGTGCAATTTTTTGAGTGCATTCTCTCCTCTTCTACACGCTATTTCAAAACTACCCAAATTTGGGTAGAATCCACCCAGATCGGTCAAAACTGAACCTACCCAAAAATGGGTAAACTATGTTGGGAATGACAAGTTGACAAATAAACAACGTTGATTGGATTCATATCGATGTTGTCCATTTGTCAACTTGTCAATCCCAACATAGTTAACCCATTTTTGGGTAGGTTCAGTTTTGACCGATCTGGGTGGATTCTACCCAAATTTGGGTAGTTTTGAAATAGCGTGTGCAACATTTCTGGACGAACAATTCAAAGGGTCCTATCTGCTTTGATCGATTCTCTTCATCGACATTCTCTTTCGTTAATAACTCAGCTGCCAAAAAAATCCCTGTTGAATTTAATGTTCTGTATGCTAGATGATAATCTCCTTTATCAAACTCTGTTGCAAAAATAGCGTGAAATCTGTTTGAATAGCCGTGGTTATCAAAAGAGAAAATCGATCAAAGCAGATAGGACCATTTGAAATGTTTATCGAGATTTATGCGTGGCGCCTATAGTCGCTATATTCATAGTCTGGCGGATAGAATTTTGCGAACCAATTTAACTGTCAAATAACGGAACCAATCGAGCATATCACGACCAACAACAGAAAAAAGCACATCAGGTTTTGCGACCTGAATTCCGGAAACACTTTTCTCGCGATTCAAAGATTGTTTAGGCAAAACAACATAATAATTTACTCGCGGAACGTTTTCCCTATTCCATGATGCTTTTAATTTGCGTTCGGTTTGCAAGGAACGAAGAACGAACCATCTTAGTTTTGATTATAAAATTTGAGCTCCTTTTCATTTGTTGGTCTTCAATATCTTGATTTGGTTCCCTTTTTTGCTAGATGGAATTTCTATCCGCCAGACTATGAATATAGCGACTATAGTAGCGCCTCAGCGTACTTGATACATTTAAGAAGGAATAGCTTGGTACAATGTAACAAAACTAATTGTTCGCATTATTTATGCTAAATTAAAATAAAATTACTGTATTGGTAAGCGTGATTACCTCTCACCCCAGCAGGCCTGGGTTCAATCCCAGTCGGCGCCGCCGGGATGTTCTGAGGCATAACATCTCTGATCACGCCTTCCTTCGGATGGGAAGTAAAGCCGTTGGTCCCCGGTTCATGAGTTGATGGGTCGATAGGTAGGGTCCAGTGTGGGAGCTGTCTTCCTGGCACGTCGGTAGCATTGGTGCTCAGCACGGAAAACAAGATCGACGGAAAAAACAAACCAAAGGAAAAAAAAAAAATACTGTTGATCATATGGTAGCCATGGGATATGTTTCGTGTAGAAGACCGATCAGAAACGTCCAATAGAAAGAATGGTCAGATTGGGAAACATATTATAAACTTTAACTTTTTTGTATTTGTATTTTCAGGTGGATCCATAGGTGGATTAAATCAGGTTTTTTAGTTTCATGTCACCATGTACTTACCAATCTCTTGGCGAACAGATCATCATTGAGGTTTTCTTCCAGCTTTTTGATTCCTTCAACTGAAGTTATTGGAGAAAACTGGAACGATGATGAGGCTTCGTCGTGGTACTGGGTGAATGAGGCATTATTGGCGTATATAGCAGCTTTCAAGTTAACTTCCAATGATGCTGCAGCATTTGCTATCATCGGCTCAACCACATTTCTGATGATTCCAGGAACTTCATGCAATATGTTTCTGCATGCCTCATCGATTTTATTGGCAATTTCTTTGATAATTCTATCTCCATCAGGCTGCAATTTTAAATAGGAACAGAACATACATTAGCTTCAGGTTTATGTTGTAGAGTATCAATAATGTTGATTGGCTTATGTTATTTGGCAAGCATTATACGACATTTTATTAGAAGCTGTACAATAATTACGTAAGGTTTTATGGGAAAGGATTTCTAACGTGCCATATAAAAAATGCTACAATGAAGGGAGGGGGGCATTCCCAAAATATGCCTTACGCACAGCCCATAGGAAAAGTGCGTTAGATAATATCTACATAAGACGTAGCAAATGTTTGGCGATAATTTCTCGTAACATATTTTCCTTTACATAATATATATCATAAAACTGGAAATGGCCACAAACTAAGGTGATTTAACGCAAAAGTGCAGTTTAATGACCGTTTCCGCTCTTTTGATAGTCAGTCAAATAGTGATACGTAATTTATGGGTCGCCTCTTAGGGATCGTCCATTAATTATGTCGCACTTTTAGGAAGGAGGGGGGTTTTGGAAACTGACGAGTCATACAAAACAAATTTAAGATCCATAAAAAAAAAGTGCCAAAGGTGGAGGGAGGTTTGAAAATGGGCGAAATTTGCATGACATAATTAATGAACCTTCCCTTACATACATACCTGTTGAATGTTAAGAACATATCCCTCCGTTAACAGATTATCTAGCGGTTCATGTACCGTTGTCTCGATCGGAGTGCTACCACAGGGCATGCTCGCAGTAGTTGCAGTTGTCTCGATCGGGTTATTGGCCATCGATTCTAGGTCACTTCCCTGAGAGTTAGCCAAAAGTTGGGTCAAATCTGGTTGACAGTATATAGTCTCGAGCGGCTGACTTTGAACGTCTTCTGCGGTCTGACTCTGAATTTCCGGATGGATCGTATTGGCTTGCGACGAGGCTTGAGGTACCGACACTTTTTTATATCCACCTTAAAAAAAAAACAAAATCCCATCGTTACATTTTCAAATTAAACTAATAATTAATAACCTGAACGGTGGAAATACTTACTTAGAACACTCAGCAGGTGATTATAATCGTATTTCTTTTGATCCTGGACTTTTTTAGTTTTTTTCTTCCGCTTGGGTGCTGCATCGGATGCATCCGTTGATATTCCGGACAAATTCGCAGCCTCTTGCTGCGCTGCGTCGAAAGTTGGTATGTACTTTCGTTTCACCGAGCAACGCATTTTGGTCCAGTTGGTACCAGGTTTTGACGCAGGGTTTTTTTGAAATGAATCCGCATTTTTGGTCGGCCAAAACAAGTCATTGCCGTGGACCCATTGGTGCGGCACTACCGTCAGCACAGGCCTACCTGCCTCAACCGTTTGAACAACCGTAAAATAATCACCTGAAAAATAAACATTGAATTAGTGTTTAAAATATTTCGTTGTTTTAGTAGCTAAATATTTTTACATAAAGAGGAGCACGTATGCAAAGTATGCTTTGGTATTTCTTCATATCCATTAGGTTGGAAGCTGATTGAAATTTTTCCTCTACAGGCCTTTTTTGCTTAATATTTACCTTTACTCATCTTGCCAACAGCTGGATCACTTCCTTGAACGTTTCAGCTTATAAATATGAATCCCACGGCACTACTAGGCACTAAATTAAATTGAAAACTCGAAAATGTACACACAATCCGATTCAGCGGACCAAGAAATCAATTGTAATAAAAAAAACTCTTTGACAGGCAGGTTGACAGCTTCACAATGAACAGTGCTTCCAGATATGTTTGTTGAGCATTTATTCAATTATTGTTAAGCCGTTTTACAACACCTAATCAATTTTGATGAGGTTGTTATTTAATTACTTATAAAACTTTGTTTCAGCACTTGCGCGACTTGAGTTATAAATACCAACCACAATGTTGTGGTCAAAAATAGCACAAGTGATAGCCATTTGGTTAAAAGCTTCAAAAGCTGCTTGGAGTACTCTTAAATGATTGTTTACGTTCGGTTTACCTATCAAACGTTGAATAATAGCTTCCAGAGTTGAACAAGAATGTAGTTGTATTGCCTTTTTGGTTAGAAGCTTCAAAAGCTGCTTGGAGCACTCTTAAATGATTGTTTACGTTCGGTTAAACTGTTTGACAGGAGCCATATAGGATGTGGAATAAACGCATCAAAACAAACCATTGCGAGCTCTTATACAACACCTGAGTTGATCAAACGTTGAATAATAGCTTTCCAGAGTTGTACAAGAATGTAGTTGTATTGCCATTTGGTTAAACGCTTCAAAAACTGCTTGGAGCACTCTTAAATGATTGTTTACATTCGGTTGAACTGTTTGACAGGAGCCATATAGGATGTGGAATAAACGCATCAAAACAAACCACTGAGAGCTCTTATAAAACACCTGAGTTGATCAAACGTTGAATAATAGCTTCCAGAGTTGTACAAGAATGTAGTTGTATTGCCATTTGGTTAAAAGCTTCAAAAGCTGCTTGGAGCACTCTTAAATGATTGTTTACGTTCGACCAACCACCAACCACAATTTTGTTGCTAAAAATAGCACAAGTGATAGGCACGTTTATATGACCATAAGGCAATGATTATTCGACTGCAAGAGAAGTCACTCAATATGAGCTTCATATACTTCTCTCATATGATCAAAATATGTATTCAAGAATAGAGCAGATGGAAACAGAAGCGGCTGGCAATCCGGGATCATGAGTTCGAATCTTGCTTCGAGAAACCCTCGGTGGAGTAGAGGTAAATTATATATATAGGTGTTTATTAATAAATGCAAACATTAATTTAAGACATATATCATATAATCAACGATAACATTTCTAGATAAATTCTCTCAACTAATTATTAGAGAGATTAATTGAAAGAATATCAATCAAAGATTAAACCGATGCTAGTTACTACTTCCTCCATGATCACAGAATGTGAATTATGGCATAATTACATATTTTTTCAATGTGCACAAATAAATTAAATTAATAAAAACTGTACAAGCAATTATTTTGGCGTACCACGACAATTGTTAAATTAATTATAATCTGTGAATATTGTGAGTACTTACACAACGGTTATTAAGGAGTCATTAAAAAGTGCTATAAACGCTTTTCACCGCTTGCTGTACAATGATTATTTAGGAGTCATAAAAGAGTGCAACAAACGCCTCTCAGGTTTACTCTCTACTAAATTTCAAAGCAGCTGTCAAGAAGTGTCTACAAATGTTGTATAAGAGCTTTCACCAAAATAATAAAGCTTGAGTTTAAATATGTATCTATAAACGTTGTATAAAAGTTGCTTCTACTCCTATACCGCGTATACATATAATGCTGTAGTTGAACAGGTTCTCCAAACCAGTGTAAACAAGAGTTTTACAGAAGTTGTAATAAACAAATTGTACAGTTATTATTCAGCATGCAGTTGAATAAAATCACAATGGAAGCGTTTCTTCAACAAGAAATTGATTTTGGGTAAACGTTTTACTGAATACGTTAGACAACACCTTTGTGTTGCAGTTGTATAGGTTCTCCAAACGAGTGTAAACAAGGGTTTTATAAAAGTTGTGGTGAACACATTGTGCAATTATTATTCAACATGCAGCTGAACAAAATCAAAACGAAAGCGTTTCTTCAACTGGAAATTGTTACTTGGGTATTCCAGGAAAAGATGCCATTAAGGCAATGAACCAAGCGAAGGAAAATCAAGAATACGAAGGAGAAGAGTTGCCGCTGCCTACACGGTAAGAAAAAAGTACCCAAAATTGAGTTCCTTTCACTCATCACGTGGCTTCCGTGGGGCTAGGTAAAATTAAGTTAAAGAAGAAAACTCAATTTTGAGTAATCCTGGCGTTGACCAAGTTGACAAAAAAATAATAAAACGGAGCAGACTGGAACCGAACCATGGACGTTGAGATTACGGGGCCCGTGTGTTGACCACTCGTCTATCAACGCTTGTGAAAATGAAATGGTTAAAGGCGCATAAAAGCAACCTCAATGAAAATAAACTTATATTTGAGTTCATTTATTATTACTCAATAGTTGAGTAAATTTTAACCAACGCCGCTTTTCTGATTCACTCAACGGCGGACCTCAAATGATAGAACCCAACGTTGAGTTTTTTTTAACTTAATTTTGAGTATTTTTTCTTACCGTGTAAGGACAAACATTGAAGCTGATGAAGATGACAGAAGATGATGCGAAGAAAGCAGAAGAAGATGGAGGAGAATATGGAGGAGAAGATGGAGAAGAAGATGGAGAAGAAGATGGAGAAGAAGATGGAGAAGAAGATGGTTATGCAGAGGATGAAGTAGAGCGCGAAGCAAAACAAAAAGGGGTGAAAGAAGACAGAAAAGTCGCACGCACAAACACAGATGAAGAAGATGGCGATAAAGAAGGTGAAACCGGGTATTAAAAGAATATTGAAGCGGATGGAAACGCATGAAGCAGGAAATGAAAAGATGATGGAGGGGAAGCAGAAGCTGTCGGAGAAGAAAACAATATGGAAGCGGATGAGAATACAAGGTGCAGGAAATAAGAGAAGACGAAGGGAATTAGCAGCAGGCGGAGAGGAAGAAAGCTGAAGATAATGTGATGGTGAAGAAATGAATGAAATAGAGAAGAAAACAACAAATGCAAATAATTGAACCTGAACTGATGAATATGTAGTGGAACGAAGCAAGGAAAAGTAGATACAGTAGTAGCAGAAGCGATGAAATCTGGACCGGAGCAGTAGAGAAACTAAGTGTGAACTTAACAATTAACAGTAACACCACATAAAACAGACAGTACACTAGCATTTTTTTAAAGTCACGAATTCATCAGCAGATGTAAATTGTTGTTGTTGTTTATTATTGACATTTTACATCCTGCGGATGCATTCATGTCAGTTGAATTGATTTTTGTGTAAACAGTGTGTGGGTGTGTTCAGAGTTTTTTTTTTTTTGTATTTATTTAAGACATTTTACATCCATAGATGCATTCATGTCTGTTTCCGTTTTGTGTAATGATGTGTGGGTGTGAGTGTTAGTGTTTATGGTTGATTGCACTTAGCTTTGTTTCGTCTCCTTCTGGTTCATCGTTGATCATAACATTGCATCTCTTTTACTTCTTCTTCTCAATGAATTTCACTTATACTTCATCTACCTTTTCTTCATCTTCTTTCTTCATCATCTTCTTTTTTGTTCGTAGCCTTCGTCCGTTTCTTGTTATCCGCCATCTTGATATTTTGTTGACGGGTCTCCTTCATCTTGCTGAATTGGCTGCGTCATCTTCTTACATCTTCTTCACTTCTGATCATTTGTTGCTTAATGGTATTCTTCTTCATTCACTTTTGATCTATCTTCTTCTTTCTTCTCACCATACTTCAAATTATTTTCTTGTTCAGAGTGATGAGAGGGTGAGTGTTAGTGTTTACGATACAATTCAAAATTCACTTAGCTTTCTTATCGTTTGCTCGTTTCCTGGTTCATCGTCTGCATGCTCATCTCATGGTTTACACTGTAAAGACAACAACAACAACAACAACAACAACAACAACAACAACAACAACAACAACAACAACAACAACAACAACAACAACAACAACAACAACAACAACAACAACAACAACAACAACAACAACAACAACAACAACAACAACAACAACAACAACAACAACAACAACAACAACAACAACAACAACAACAACAACAACAACAACAACAACAACAACAACAACAACAACAACAACAACAACAACAACAACAACAACAACAACAACAACAACAACAACAACAACAACAACAACAACAACAACAACAACAACAACAACAACAACAACAACAACAACAACAACAACAACAACAACAACAACAACAACAACAACAACAACAACAACAACAACAACAACAACAACAACAACAACAACAACAACAACAACAACAACAACAACAACAACAACAACAACAACAACAACAACAACAACAACAACAACAACAACAACAACAACAACAACAACAACAACAACAACAACAACAACAACAACAACAACAACAACAACAACAACAACAACAACAACAACAACAACAACAACAACAACAACAACAACAACAACAACAACAACAACAACAACAACAACAACAACAACAACAACAACAACAACAACAACAACAACAACAACAACAACAACAACAACAACAACAACAACAACAACAACAACAACAACAACAACAACAACAACAACAACAACAACAACAACAACAACAACAACAACAACAACAACAACAACAACAACAACAACAACAACAACAACAACAACAACAACAACAACAACAACAACAACAACAACAACAACAACAACAACAACAACAACAACAACAACAACAACAACAACAACAACAACAACAACAACAACAACAACAACAACAACAACAACAACAACAACAACAACAACAACAACAACAACAACAACAACAACAACAACAACAACAACAACAACAACAACAACAACAACAACAACAACAACAACAACAACAACAACAACAACAACAACAACAACAACAACAACAACAACAACAACAACAACAACAACA